TGATACACACATACATGCACACACGTTCGCGTTCCTATCCTATTAATTTCTATGGGAAAAACCCTAATCCCAAACACCACACTCTTAACCACCCCTAACCTTAACCATAACTAACCAAACAAAATACTTTTGGCACTTTTACTTTTTTGATTGCATTCACAGATTTTATTTTTGATTTTTGTATGAAATTAAGGTTGTCCAAATGGGGACCTGTAAAATGTCCCCAAAAGTAAGGAAGTTTCAGGTTTTACCACACTTCAAGGACATTTTGGTCCCCAAATTAGATCTGTGCAAACACACACACACTTGCTTTCTCCCTCTCTTATTAACTAGCACAAGGTGACAGTGGTGACAGTCTAGGTGAGGATGAGCAGAAGCTTCTTCTGCCAACATGACCCGTGTTCATGTTCTGGAAGAACAAACAAATAACTAAGTAAACGGGCCCTGGAAGCCATTGGCAGCGCCCCAAAGTCCCCAAAATAGAGACACCTTTACAGGACTGCCTGTTTGCTGAGGAAAGCTGTTTAACCACTGAAGTGTGGTTAAGAAAGCAATTTGAAGTTCATGGGAGAGACCCAGGTTACACCCTCACTGTGTGACTGACGCCACATGATGTCACACCTGCTCAGCACCACCCAATCTAGACACCTGATCTCACTGTCCACCCAGCTTACCTAGCAGTAGGAAAGAGCACCCCCCACACACACCACACCCCATCCTGATGCAGCAGTCCCGAAGTCTAGGCCAGGGTATAAAATATCAGAAGTTCCCAGTCTGCCCACAAGAGGGAGATAGAGGCATTATTAAAACAGACACGAATCAGGCAACGCATCTACATCATACCAATGAATATTAAAGGAAGGAAGGGGGATAGAATTTGGTCTTCACACCACCCAGTGACTCAAACAAACGTACAGTGAGCCCGTGAAGCAGCTACACTGCATTCATCCTGTCACAAAACCGCCCTAGGACTTTTCTACAACAAAAACGCAAAAACAGGCTCGCTGAGCTGTGACAGACTCTGGGTGTGGGTGTTTTTGGCGTGTATGACCACACATCTCTACTAGCAAGATCCTTCAGAAAAGGGCAGAGGGTAGCCCGTGGTCGGGAGGTCAGGCAGCGTTTGTTTACAAGCTCCTCACACATTTGCCCCTCATGCATCTAGCCACACCTGTGAGCAGGTATGTGTGTTTGAGCATGTGGTTCTGTGGCAGTATGCAAGAGGTGACCATGTCTTCTGGGCCAGCACCGGTGTCCATCCTGGCATGAGATGGACTTGACTGAAACTCAAAACCCGTTTCAGACAGACAGGACACATCACAACATCTTCTCCAGGAAGCAGTTTTCTTGGTCAGCATGTGAGGCATTTCCCTGAGTACCTTCTCCATCATCCCATTGTAAACTGTTCTAGGATGATTGTAGGATTAAGAAGTCCACAGCACTTCCACTAAGCAACAATCCTGTTTGTCTCCTCCTTTAATTCATACCGCCAGCATCACAACCTGCATTACCTCTGGTAAATTACACCTCCCACGTCACAGTCCGCGTCTCCACCTTTAAGCCACACCTCCAGTGTCACATGACCCTTATCAGCACCTCTATTCCAAAGCTCCTGCATCAGGATGCTGTAAGTATACAGTGAAGTTCTGTCCCACACTCCAGTCCAGTAGGTGGCGGTAGTGCACCTTCATACTGGCTGCCAACCACCTATAAACATGAAGAAGCTCCTGCATCGCGATTCTCCTCCTCTAATCTGTATCTCCTGTGTTGCAGAATCTTTTTTTTGTGCACCATCATCTGATCCTAAAAAACCCTGAACCAGGAACCACCAACTGTATACCAGTGATATCCCCACATCCTGGCAAACTCAGCAGGACCCGGTGTCCAAATTGGGGCGGGGATGTAAACCAGCAGCAGATGGTCTTCAGGCAAAACGTTCAGTGTGGAAGCTGCTAGGAGTGTCCCCATGGGAAGATATCACTATCCTCCGGAAAGCACGCCAGGCAGAGAGAAACACAAAGAGGCCCTTCTCATGATGCTGATCCTGCCTTCAGAAATCTCAAAAAATACACAGAAGCACATGCAGATAAAACCGGAAGAGAATTATTTTTCAGGTTAATAGGAATGGAGACTGTAAGAAAAACCCAGAAGTGAGTGCACCTGTACAGCAGGATTAACTCTTAACAGGAGGGTTACCACTTTCAATCTGAAGAAATATAGGACCAGATGGTCATGTTATTAACTTTCTCAGAACATGAAAGTTTCACTAATATATTTGCAGCCATACGCAAAAAGCAATATTTAGCGAGGGCGAGGGAAGACGTGTAACACCTCAAGGTGAGAAATCGCAGCAACACCTGAAATCCCTAGCAGAGCACACCTACCACTGAGGTCCCCACAATGCCTGTTGTTGAACTACACAGAACAAACATGGAGCCCATCTTAAGTGAAATAACAAAGGTGCCACTCACTAGACCGGTCCGAGCGCCTCCAGTGGGTGGTTTCACACTAACTCTGATCTGAACGAAAACAACAACACTGCTGAATCCTTCCCCATAAAGGTGTCCTTCGCGTTAAACAGCACAGATTAGATTCCCGACTAAACAGAACCATCAATCCTCCCCTGCTGGCTAGCCGATTTACTACATAAATACCGTCAAACCCCTATCTAGGCAGATCCATAGCCACGTGCCCTGTGATGCCTGGCACCGGTTTCGTGGAGGGATGCGTCGGGACTTTCATTCCTATACAATCATTACACATAGATGGTGGGTCAGGAATTTGTGTTATTTTTTTCCCCCTTGGTTTTGCACTCCCCAGATATGTTAGCTTTTCTTAAAAAAAAAAAAACCGAAAGGCATAGATTGTAAGATAGCAGTCGTCGGTTTTAAATGCATGTGATTTTTCAGAATGATTGTTGGATGGTAATATGCGGTGCTACAGACTTCTGTGTCTTTCTGCTCTGTAAAGTAAGGGTGTCCGTTCGAATATATATGCATATAGGCCTACAGGATTGTATGTATTAACGCTATCGCATAAGTAAGCCTAAACGCCCGGTTAAACTCGCTCCTGCCGGCAACTGCGACTACAGCGTCCGCCTCTTTCTGGGCACGGCTCCCAATAAAATAGACTACCGCAAATAGCCGACCCATTAGCGATGGCCGGTCTGTCTGTTAGGGTGAGCGCCTTCTCCCATCAGGGAGGCAGGGAGTACATGGAGGACGTCACTCAGGTACTGGTGGAGAGGGAGCTCGGGGGTCCGGACCGGCTCATCCTGCCCTCCGCGGTACCGGGATCGGCGGCAGCGGAAACCGAAACCGAAAGCAGGCAACAGGACGCGGCACAGGGCGGCAGCTATGACCGGGGTTTCGCGGGGGTTTTCGCCGTTTTTGACGGCCATGGGGGCGCGGAAGCCGCGCACTTCGCTCGGGACAGTCTGTGGGATCATATTAAGAAGCAGCGTGGATTTTGGTCCAGGGACAACGAGGAGGTGTCGGCGGCGATTCGCAAAGGGTTCATCGCCTGCCACCATGCCATGTGGAAGGAACTGCGTAAGGCAATCTCTCTCTCTCTCTCTCTCTGATACACACACACACACACACACACACACACACACACACAAAGACATTTTAAAAGCGGGGGAATGTAGACTGTGATGTATTAAAGAATTTTAACACACCCATGTAAAGCCCTTGGGGCGGCATTGTTGTGAAAGGCGCTATATAAAAATTGATTGAATGTAATCCAAAAATGCTGGTATCCTCTGCTGTGAGGATGAGGGAATTTAAATCGAACAGCACATGAATGACGTGCCTCTGGGAACCCCATTATTATTATTATTATTATTATTATTATTATTATTATTATTATTATTTCGTATCACGCACTCTTGGTCACATTTCTGGTGCGTTTGCCCCCACAGCTAAGTGGCCGAAGTCCCCGTTGGGTCTCTCCAGCACCTCCGGCACCACAGCCAGCATGGTGCTGATCCGAGACAGCCGCTTGTACGTGGCACACGTGGGTGACTCTGCCGTGGTTCTGGGGGTGCGGGATCACCCCTCCCAGCGGACTCTACGGGCTGAGGAGATCACTCAAGACCACAAGCCCGATGCCCCTTCGGAGAGGCAGCGGATCGAGGGCATGGGCGGCAGGTGGCCGAAATTTGATATTAATTCACTTTATCATACGGCTGTTAAACATGAGTGTGGCGTGGCCCTGCACAGCTGTCTCTCATTGCCGTGTCTGACACAGTGTGATGATGAAGTCGGGCGTGAGCCGTGTGGTCTGGAAGCGGCCCAGACGGACACACAGCGGCCCAGTCAGGAGGGGTGTCGCCATGGATCACATCCCTTTCCTCTCCGTGGCTAGAGCCCTAGGTACTGCACCAAGCGCCCCCTTGTAGCCATCACGGTTACTGCATGTAACGCTGGTGAGGTTCCTTTGAGGTGGCTGTTTATTCCCTGTGATTTCTGAGATGGATTCTCTTGCTCTGTTTAGGGTGACATCTGTGTCTCTACATTGGGTACGTGATATTTATCTGGACAGTGTTTAATGGTGACCCCCCCCCCTCCACTGTCTGTCAGGTGACCTGTGGAGCTATGATTTCTACAGAGGGGAGTTTCTGGTGTCTCCAGAGCCTGATGTCAAGGTCATGACCCTGGACCCCCGACAGCACCGATACATTATCCTGGGCAGCGACGGGCTGTGGGACGTGGTTCCCCCGCAGGACGCCGTCACCCTCTGTCAGGCCCATGATGAGGCGCTGGTGAGCAGCTCTGTCCTTGTCCATGTCCTCGTTCTCATTCAGCGGCCTCAGCCACCCTCTGGTGAGCTATAACAGCCCCCCGCCCCCCCCCCCTGCTTATAGGCCCCGTTCGCTGTGGCAACAGCCCACCGCTTGGTGAGCCACGCCCTCCTCCGGTGGCGGAGACAAGGACTTCATGCGGACAACACAAGTGCCATTGTCATAGTGCTGCTGCAGCCCAGCGAAGCCCAAAGACCCCTACACCGTGACGAGGAGCTGCTCACTCTGGCTAACCTCCCTGAACGTACCCTCAGCCCCCCCCTGACCCCCCTCCCCCCCAAGGTGAGCGGGCACGAGGGCATCTGACACGCCAGGGGCATCTTCCGAGGCTGGTCGCTCTTCCCGTCGTTTGAGTCCCAGGTGTCATCGGTACGTGCTCCATCCTGGCCAGACAGCAGCACATTTCCACCTGTAGGTGGCGCTACGCTCTGTGGGCTCAGCCAGCTGCTATGGAGATCCTCAGGGGACAATATCAGCAGAATGGGGCAGCGTTTCCCAGCTCCCTCTCTGCCTGGGCAGTGTTCCCATGTTCAGTTGACTCTGAAAACCCTATGGGAGGGAGGAGTTACTCCAAGGTGGTGGTGAGATCTCCGCCCATGGGAGTTTTACTTTCGCAAAAATGTTCTGAGGGCAGAACAAAAAATGATTGGTTACCTCTCTGAACCAATCACATTGTAGAGGAGGTGGGTCCAAGTAAACGAAGGAGGCAGCATCAACCAATCACGTGTCTTGGCTCCGCCTCTTCCAGGTGCTTGCGTCTCTCTGAACCAATCATTTTTCGTTCTGCCCTAAGAACATTTTTGTGTAAGTAAAACTCCGAAAGCAGGATTTACATCTCAGGTGAGCTTCATAAAAGACTCCTATCTATGTTATACATATTTTCCCTTTTAAATTATGGAGCATTGTCAGGTCAGATGAAGGCGATCAGTGAGGTTGCCTGACAGCATCCTGAGGCTGTGAAGAATGTGCAGGTGAACATACTGCTCCTCTTGTGGCCTGTCTGCATGTGGACAGGACAGTGATCACAGACATGGCTGTTGTTCAGCAAAGGAGGTAACTGATTCCAGAAGGTTTTTTAAAGACTATTATTTGCTGTCATAAAGTATCTGTGGGATCAATAAACAGCAGTTTGGTTTCCTTGTGTCCTTCAGGATTATGCACCTTTTGCTGGATACCCTCATGAAATGAGATGATTAGAACTCGTCACTGTGCTAAAGAGAACTTGTCTAGTACATTCACCTTATCTGTAATTTTATTTAAGGCGAAGGAGAAGAATTGCAGATTTATCACTGAAGGGCAATTCAGCATCCTGTTGTAGGTGATAACAGGTGCTGCAGTGACATGTATTTTCCACTGGGTGTCACTAAAGTGCCACCTGTAACAGAACTGCTCATTTTCACAGTGTGCTGGTTGTAATGACCAAACTGCTGGTGATGTGTATCATCAGAAGATATTTGGATTGGATTTCAGTTCAGCTGCATCTACTGTTTCAAATCTCAAGGTCATTTCAGTGGTGAGGAAGAAGGCAGAACAGGCCACGTTGCCGTAAGCAGAGGTTACGAAAGCTCTGAGGAAAATGGATCCCCTCAATGTGGGTCCGACGTGACAGGGCCCCATTATAAAGAGGAAGCCCGTCTTCACATTGATCACAAGCCTGTCCTGCAGACTGGAAGACTTCCCCACCCCTTCCTGAGCCAATAGTACAGCTTAAACGCGCATATGTAATAAGCCCTGATTCGAGTCATCCCCACATTAGCCGGCTGGTTGTGCTTCACTTCTTCTCGATGGTGTGCATATCCTCCTGTTTCACTTCAGAACCCAGAGGAGATGAACTCAGTCACAGGTAGGGAGGCCCCCTCCTCGTTTCTGTGGCGAATTCCCCCCGTTCCTGGACATGGTCAGAGGTGTTATGTGATTACTGGGTAACTGTGTAACTGTCGTAATGCTGTGGGTGGGCTCAGGGGGGCATCCTGGAGGGGTGGGGGGGGGGCGTGTGCAACTGGATACTGTGCAGCATGCTGAAGGGGCCTCTGAGTTTGGAGCGTTTCTTGAGTTTCCGATAAGCATTCAAATCCGAATCAGCCATTGCGGTTCTCATGCTCATCTCGCCTTTAGGATTCATCCAACAAATCCTAGTGCTTTACAAGGCCAAGGCTCAACAAACATAGTGTCATTTACTAGTGGCCAAAAGTTGTGGAAACATTTCCAATTATTAGAGATTGCAGAACTTTATCCAACTGTTGCTCCAGTTACTTATTTAATCGTCCAACGCATGATATTTGTAACACTTTGTTTATAAACATTACCGCCAGGATTCGTGTAGTAATTTTTTAAGCGTAATGCCAAAAAATGCTAGGTGTTTCCACAATTTTGGCCACTAGTGTAGACGTGAGGTTCATATGGTCTGCCAAGCACTGACGTTCTGAAGACTTGCATTTACAAACACATTACAGGAGTGTGGGAACATGTGTGGTCTCTCCTTGCCATCTTTTGCAGCAGGATGGTGAAGGTGTGCACTGTTGGACATGCATGGTTCTAAGAATGATTTAGAGCAGGAGAACCTGCAGGTGAATGTCAGCTTTCATCACCCTCCTGATTGGATGGTTACTGTGGGCACCCTGATTGGGTAATTAACCACAGGACGCCATGCCTCATTAGCTTTTCATAAGCTCAGCTCCCAGCAGGCGAAAGAACCAGGTCCGGAACATGACGGAATATTCCGGAACCAGCCATTTGTTCTGTCGGCGGGGAATTTTGAAGTTTGTGTTTGTTCAGGTGGTCGAGGAAAATCATGGGTTTTTAGCGCAATCTGCAGAAGGAATGATGTAAATGTTATCCAGCAGTCTTACTGTACTTGTGTTAAGCAGATAAGCATAGTACAAATTATCTACACATCTGTGCCATTTCACAGTCAAGTGTTAGTAACAATTTAACTGTACAATAGCTGGCCCCTTCTGTGTTTACCTGTTAGTCATGAAGCACTCGAAAGCATTTTTACCGGCATTTATCCACTGTGCCCTTGAAGTCGTCGTTTTTTTCTTTCCTGCCAAACGCTCTGAAATTTCTGCATGTCACACAGCTGCCGCGTGTATTTTGTGGTGAGGCTCTGCGTTTCGTCTGACAAAGGTCCTCCCTGCAGTCTGTCTCCTCTCGTTATGGCCCATTAAACGAGGCTGAGGCCAGAGGAGACGACAGATCTGAATTTAGGGTCAATCATACCATAACATCATGAGTGCATATACATTACCAGTCAAACGTTTGTGCACACACAGTTTCTAGATTTGCACGTTACACACTTAACATTTATTAAAAATTCACTCAATATTCTTTGCTAACAAATACATTTACAGCGTGTTCACCATTTGAGTACCTTTATTAACAAGAAAATATACCTTTGATTCATCAAAGCAACCTCCTCTAGCAGTTATAACAGCAGAGAACATTTGAGGCATTTTTTCCACAAAGGACATTAAATACTGCTCTGTTTCATGGGACGAAACAGTTAATTAGTGTGTTTACAGTTAAAGGACGGCCTAGAATTTGACTCTGCCATCACCATACAATCAGTTAATAGGATGTCAGACATGCACTGTTACATACTCCATCCATGTTATAAAGGAAACGTGTTTTATTTGACTTAAATTTTCATTTATAGTTGTTCACTCAACTTTTCAATGCTTAACAAGAACAAAAAAAATCTAGAATTTATTAAATAAATTGAAAATGGTAAAATCCTGTGATGTGCAAAAACTTTTGACTGGTAGTATATAGAAGTACTCCGCCCAAGCAGGTTTGCTTACTAGAATCACTAACATAGATATTCTTTCATTTTATATAAGCAAAGTCTATAGCTCAAAGTATAATTGTTTCTAGATGACTGATACTGTCCAGGATCTTCACTTTCCATTCCTCTGAGTAAAAGGCAGATGATCCCCCACTTAAGAGGAGGACTCAGAGGGAACTGGAGGGTCATGTGACCAGGGGAATGAGTCCTACTTAAAAACAAGCATGTCTACCCCGGCAGCATGAGAGCCACATCTTATGCAATTAAACTATCAATTAAGGGCCTGTCCAAGAGGGATAGAGATATTGCTGAAAGGTATGAGAGGAAAAACACTCTTCATGAAAGGATGTAGATTTGGCGAGACTAAGACCGAGAGGAACCAAGATGCACTCTGGCCTTCTACAGAAAAGTGTTCCATCATCAATAATTCTGAAGAAATCAAGGTTAGTGTAGGATCTAATGACATTCCAAAGAGGTCCAGGGTGGTGTAAGAGCTAATGACGTCCTGAAGAAGTCCAGGTTGGTGTAAGATCTAATGACATTCCAAAGAGGTCCAGGTTGGTGTAAAATCTAATTACATTCTGAAGAGATCTGGGTTTGTGTAGGACCTAATGACATCCCAAAGAAGTCCAGGTTGGTGTAGGATCTAATGACATTCCGAAGAAGTCCAGGTTGGTGTAGGATCTACTGACATCCCGAAGAAGTCCAGGTTGGTGTAGGATCTAC